AGGAAACGCCCAAAACATCCAACAAAATGTTTGATTGTAAGAGATGAACTTGAAAAATTGATTTATTCTCAATCAAAGATGGCCGACCGGAAGCTGCTGGGGCCGGATGTCCATTTTCTCACCAATTTACCCCTTTCATAAATATCCTGATTGTGACATTTTTACCCAGGTAGTTGACATTGTAGCATTGGATATCTGATGTATTTCAACATCTTCATGTTACACTATTTAGTACTAGGAGTTGAAATAGAACGGTAAAAGTAAATCAAATATGTTACAAAGAACAGGCAAATATTAGGAACAGAAAGTTTGTAATACATGATTTATTTGGAGATTTTAAATCTACGTAGCTTTATGCTCTTTTATAGGAAAATGATTGTAAACCCTTCTTACAAGAATATCACTTAGTATTTAACATCATAAATACTTGGTTTTTGAGACAGACATATAAGCCTAAAACGCCACAGGACAGAATTACAAGCTGCACAGATGCGACGGAATGTCTGTAATAATGTTTACGACTTTGCCCACCTGTTGTTCATAGAGATTTCAGAAGGTTGTCCTTTCTTGGGCTGATGGCTTAAAAATTAATTTAAACCTATATCTAGGACATATTTGATGACCGAAGACATTACCAGGGTCTGTTATAAAACAAATAACTATTTGACAGGTAAAAAATTGAATATTAAAAATATGGTAAAGTATTGACATAAAAAATCTAAATTAGATTTTTTAGGAAAAATGAATTTAAATTAAACTATTACTAAACAAAAGCTCCTTTGATTGAGTAGGAAAATAAAATGCAGTTATTAATCTTTAATAATTTCAATTCTTGAGTACACGTACATCAAAGCATGAATGTAATCAAGGGTCAGTCCTGATCCAAACTACAAATATATTATGACCACAGAATGCATCATGATAAGGTACCCTGGGTGGTAATCGACATTTAGGTTATCTCAAGTAAATCCTATTATTAAAACTGAAAATATTATTAATTAATTTAAAAAATGTAACACAAATGTCAACCCAATCTATAAAGGAACACGAAGGTGGCTGTAAATCTTTATAGCTTTTGTTTCATATAGAATAGACCAATTTATTCTCAATCATATTTAAATATCTTTGGATGGCTTTGAAAGCATCCAAGTCATTAACATGATGTCATCACAATACACAGGATTTGTGTCTCATACATGTCAACGTTACACACAGGCAGGTGTATTCTCCTGACAGTATGTAGATTATGGTTTACGTATTATACTATAATTACATCCTCTGCCGACAACGTGAGTCCGATTTTTAAAATAATGGGACAGGTCAGATGTGCTAGATTTAAATTTTGATAAATAATTATGTGCAATTAGAAAACATTTACATTTGGAAACGTTTATTTATGATCTAATGTAAATACAGAATTTAAGTTCTTTAAACATATAGTTATAAATATTTTGGCCATCGACAATTAAATCGATATTGTAAAGAAACCTGTAAAGAAATTACCATTTTTTTCTTGGCATAAACAGCTTTAATTAACTATTGAAGATCTAACATAGTAATAATGTAATACACTTACTCTATTTAATACCAATTTCTCAATTTAAAATTACGACATGTTTATGTTAAATATAAATTCTACTAAAACACAACTGAATCTATACACATGTAAGTCATGTTAGTTAATAACTACGGCATACATTTAGTTATAGTAACAGCTAGGCTACTTCCATAATATTCGTCGTACGGAAAAACAGACATCTTTTACCTAAATGGAGTTGTTAGTTATTTTTCAATAAACAAAGGTTTACCAAACCACCGAGATACCATTGTCCAACTGTTGTATTTTATTTCTCCAGCTATCAACAATAGAGAAATAACCGGCGGTTACAGCAGAATTCCTGTACTTATTTTATGAACTTAATATGAAGGTGGTACATTTTAAATAGAATATTTAAACTTTCAATGTAAGCCTAGTGACTCTATATTTGTCACTAATCCATCTTTGCACAAAAATGTATTATAAAAACAAAAAATAAGTGGTTTAAAAGAACTACCCTGGGGACCATTTTGTGTGGGATGGGAAAAGTATTTAAATCACAATGTAAGACTAGCGGATAACATTTAGCACGCTTATGCTATTATTATAGAGGGAGTATAGATTTCCCAAGAGAAGAATTATAAAAAAAAAAGTTCCAAATTTTCATTGCCAAGATCTTATTTATGTATGCAAGTGTATACTAACTGTATGACCCAGCATTCCTTTAATGCAATAGTTTTGAAGACCTAATTACTTACGGCAAATCACACTATCTATAATATTAAAACGAAACAGTGTTTTTTTATTTCACGATTTTGAATCAACCACTCGACGGATTTTCATGATTTTTGTGTTGCAAGAAAGATAATTTTGAGAACTAGGGAATGTCGAAGCCATAATTTTAGTTTAGGGTCCCAGTTTTTTAGAAATTAAGTTTTAATTTTTAAAAAGTCTAGCAGCCGACGCTAAGATTCTAAATTAGCTTTTGGCATAAAATAATTTGCTTATCATAACAGCTGTAAACATACAGCTTTTGTGTCACAAATTCAGCATTTGGATAAAAATGTAAAGACATACTTAGGGTTGACTTATTTATACTATGTGAAATGCTAATCATTGATACGCTCAATTCTTCTGTAAGAGGATGACAGATTAATTAAATTATACATAGTAAAATACTAGGATGTTCAAATTATTTTTTAAAGCAATCTTTGTAATCTTCGATTTGTTTTAGAGCAATATAATTTGTTTTAACTAACAGCTGGTTAAATATAAACTATGGAACTATGAGGATATTTTATTTACTCTTATTTTGTCATTGATTATAGGAAATAAGTACGATTATTAGAGATAATTAGACCACAGTTTAAAATAACTTAGACCAAAATTAATTAAACCACAGTACAAATCGAGGCTCTGTACACGAGTCTTAATTAAAAAGGATGAATGCAAATTATTTTACTGCTCCACTTTTCAAGGAAAGAATAGAAAAATAAAAATGTTTACATGTTTTAATTCTTCATGGTAGCTTTTTGTTTACAATTAATGTTTGTCTGTTTTAACTTTGTTTGGATAAGGCCCGGAAATATTGATGTCATAAAAATAAGATCAAGAATAATCAGGAATCACGATTTTAAAATACCACCACAACCTCAGCCGGGTTTTATACAAAGATAAACAGGTGGATGACATAGATTGAACACAACGTCATCATTGACCTAGGATACTGCAATTAGACAAACCATCCTTTTATGAAATCGTGTTCAGTTGTGGTTACGTTTGGGGGTGCCTATATCAGCGATCCCCAAACGTGAAAATATCACTTTTATTTCAACTATGAATATATTGTACAGTAGTTTAAATTAACTAATATGGGAAATTACGATGTACATTTATTCAATGAGGGTGGGTAATTATGAAGGATAGAACTGATAACGGTATGGATAATAAACATTGACAATTAAGTCATTAGCTTTACTAGAGTGTTTACTTTTTATATTCCTGTTACATGTGACCAGTTCTTTTTTTCCAAATGAATGTTATTTGAACCAAGCAGCTGATTCAAAACAAACTGTTATTGTTTTTACTTTTCTTTGTTTACACTTATTTATTTAGCAATTAATGCAGTGCAATTGATATAAAAGGATAGGTGTAACGATTTATGTGTAATGTGAATTTTATTGGACATTATCGTTTTATTTTTGGCCATTTCTATTCAGATCTACTGGAAATTGTGTATAGTAGTTGTATTGTAGTGATAATAATTATGGAAGAGGCAGGTATGCTATGGAAGGTGTTATCGTTGACTAGGTCTATACACTTCTCAATTTACTATTACTCTCTCTACTGTAGGCTACTTATAATCAGTGTGCGTCTGTGTGAATCGGCTGCAAATCTCACTTCAACGCTTTTCACATCGTAAACATTGCAGAATTGCTGTTTTATTGTAAAATTATCGCATTTAAAATGCATATCGTATAGGCCTATGATGGAATAAAAACATATTTGGTCACACAACATTTGTTTACAAGATGATTTTTCACATTAAAACTGCAAGAAACTTTGTCTTTATATGTATAAACTAGCTGATCTGAATTGTACACGGTTTAAACTGACCACTAAATTCCCGTACGTAGGACGGGCTAACACCTCGTTATTTATTAAGATAAAACATAGACATAAAACATTAACATAAAAAGTAGCTTAAACAGAGGAAGACGATTAAAACGAAATGAAATCAGGTAAAGCCCAGACACAAAACAACTTTAAAGGACACGATTTCTCAATTGCGATTACAACATGAAAACACTCCGAGTACATGATACATCAAGAGTACATTGATGGATTGGGTAGGAACTGTTGATTGTATACCACAATGAAATAGGTTTAATAACAGGTTTGTACACAAAATATGATTTGAACATTTTATAAAATACACAATCTTAAAATTATTACTAGTTTTATATGATTAGTTTGCATTTATTTTGTGATTGGTAAAAGCAGGCAAAACATAGGGAAACTTTGGTGTATCTGATTAAGTTGAGCATCAAGAAACATTTTCACAAATAAAATTAATCAACCTCATATTCGGTTTGCAATACGTGACTACTTCTTGGCTAAAATATTCTAAATATAATCTTTATATCTGTAGAAGCGGGAACTAATAGGTACGGTAGATCATTTGAAATATTTTTACCCAGTTTTAAATCATCAATGTATATTTTAATTTCACAGTTGAAATTTCAAACTGAATAAAACAAGGTACAAATACTTAAAGCATCCTGACGGGTTGCATAGTAGTTAGGTATGCATAGCCCCACTTTGTTAGGTGGTTATGTGTTATGGGTATCTGTTAATATCTTTAAAATATCAAATTATAGTATATAAAAATGCATAACAGAAAATATTTAAAACACTGATGACTTACTAATCTATTTAAAGACTGAAAAACTTTAGCACTCACCAGCAATGACGAATTATAATCGTCTAAGAATCTGCAACAGAAAATTGCAATGATTACCAGAACACAAATGATGTGTATGAAGCTTAAAAAATGTGTGAGATGTGCACTTTGCCTCAAATCAGTCATTATATGGTTCAATGATGTATTAACGTTGGCAAACATTTGTTGTATACATAATCTGTAACAAGAAATTGCTAAACTATATTTGCACTAGAGCACCTTTAATCATATTCGAACAAGACGGATGGTTTATTTTGTGCATCAAACCAGTTAACACGGTATTGTTTCTATAGGACTGTCTAGTAGAAAACACCCCACTATGACTAGGAACTAAAACGAAAAAGTAAATCCGTCCCGGGTCTAGGTCTTACAATGAGAATATCCTATTCTCTATGTGAGAAGTTCGCCCAAAATGGGGTGTTCAATTTTAAATCTAACATTAACATGACTAAACGATTAAAATATATTTAATTAAGGGTTGTTAAACATTATTCTGAATGTTTTTATAAATAGTTCCACATTTTTTAATCAGACATGATTTATTACTTTAAAACATAGTTAATTTGTAAATTACCGGTGCTTTAACTGGATATCTTGGATGCAAACAGTGAATAGCGCTAAAAATGGTAGTGAATAAAGAGAAATACACTATCAACCCAATCCACCCTTTAATGGTAATCTTACAACTGCTTCTCTTAGGTAATTTTGAAGACGGTCAGCATTTTTTAAGATTAGTTCTTAAAAAACAATGAAACATTTGATATAGTTTGAGGAAACTAGTCATATAAGCTTTGTATGGTTTCAACCCAATTTATCATACTAGCAAAGAATAGTATTTTATGTCCTAACAAATAAGTCTGGAGTACTTAGCAAACTACAGTTGAGGAGAGAGTTTATTACATCTGCCCAGAAATGTCATCACTGTTAGTTGTTGGAACTTGTCTGGAACTTTTGTTACTCAAGGGTAGTAAGTAAATAAGTAGTAGTAAGTGCTTTCTAGAGGTGAGTGCTCACTTCTTCAATTTATTAACTAATAGTTTTATTAACTAAATTCCGTTGTTGATGAATTGATATAAGAATTATTTTTCTCTTTAATTTATCCGAGAAGTACTTAGAACATTTCTTATTTATAAAACTACTGTTGGGATTATAGCACTGTAATAAAATATATTTCAATGCCTAAAACACAATCAAGGAATAAGGACATTTATTATTGTTTAACAAATACTAATGTACGAGTATTTTAGAATAGTATAATTGACTATTGGATACTGAAGTTGTATAGGTAAAGATAGTAACTAATATAAAAGTATTTTAATAAGTATGATCTATAGAGTGTGTAAAAAAGAAATGTTTTACTAGAACCATTTGTTCTTGACAACACACTACAGATTTGTAATTTATATGTCATTGGTATAGGAAACTCAAAAAGTAGTTCAAACGAATCCATACCAAATATGTCAGGGCAAATGTAATAAACTGTGTAGAAATCGATTTGGCATATTATTAATGCTAAACCACCAGAAAACTAAGCGGCACCTGTGATCACTAAGAACCATCAAGGATTTTTCTGATTACTTATTATATTAACTGACACAATTATCGATATACTAAAAAAAAACTTTAAACACCCCTCAATGTGTTACAAACGACACGTAAGCCAATCCCAGCCAGGTTGTGTTACTTGGCGCACAGCTGTGTAAGTTGACCACCTGTCTTTTTTTGGTTTATCAAACTGTTGACCTGTACTAAAAACGATTTTCTATTTTTTACATCAATATTATACTTTTATTTAAACTTATAGAAATGATATGCACTAACTCATAACAAAAGTATATAACATTTTCATATTTTATCGTTTTCTGACAGTAAATAATAATAATAATGGTAAATAATTAAAAATATGATTGAAAATAAAACTTATTAACTATTGATTGTTTAAGTACACTAATCAAATTAATTTTGCATGTGATGATATTGCATGATATACCTTACATGTGACACACAAATCAATACATTGGAAAATGACAATGTAGACCTTTGTGTAGTTTTGTAGTTTGTTAGTTTTTGTAGTTTTATGTAGTTTTGTGTTGGTTATATTTAACCAATTATTTGGAAAATTTTACATTTACCATTATATATTGAAATAGTAAATTCATTGGATGGTATGATTTTTAACATACTGCAAACAATTAACTAACACAAAGATGACCCTTTAAATAATATAATATTATTTTAAAAATTCTAGGTAAATTCATGTGATATAACTGTCTACCGAATTTATGTTTTTGTATAAGAATACTTTATTTATTAACTAACTACAACTACACTACAACACTCATGTTACACACATGTTAGTACACTACACTACAGTACATGTTTTATTTCATGTCCTTTTAATGGATAGGCTTGTTTCAAAGGTTTTTACCGCAATAATTTTGCCTGTGTTAATATAATAAATAGTAAAAAAATACTCGTTTTCTTCTGGACAGTTAATGATATCAAAAAATCCACTATCTAAAAATATTTTTTATGATACAAAGGAACTATCTCAATCTAAACAACCTTACAACTCAAAAATAATCATATAATAAAGTTATTTAACAAAATTAGACGTTTACTGTCTTTCCGTTTATATTTTTGTGGTTACGATTAGTTTTAATAGCTTTTTTGTTAGGTGACAGTTCTAGTCTTCGATTTAACTCAAAACACCTTGTATTTGGTACAGAACGTTCAAATTTCTTCAGAGTCAAGTAGAAAAGGTGAAAAATACGAATATTTTCAGCTTTCTTTGTCCTTAAACCATAAATTAGTCAGGCCGATGATTTTCCCACTTATAATCGTCATAATGGTTTCTTCTATAATATGTTTATTCTTCTATAGAAGAAATAATTATGACGATTATTAGTGGGAAAATCATCGGCCAGACTAGGTTATGGTTTGAGGACAAAGAAAGCTGAAAATATTCGTATTTTTCACCTTTTCTACTTGACTCTGAAGAAATTTGAATGTTCTGTACCAAATAAAAGATGTTTTGAGTTAAATCGAAGACTAATACTGTCACCTAACAAAAAAGCAATTAAAACTAATCGTAACCACAAAAATATAAACGTATAATTTTGTTAAATAACTTTATTATATGATTATTTGTGAGTTGTATTATTTGTATGTATTATTTGCTTTCAGTTACTCTATAGTAACTGAAAGCAAATAATTTACAGAAGAATGTGTTCCGTTGTTTTGTCCAACTAATCTAGATGACATGTAGCTTTCGGATATTGGAAAGGAAGGAAAGGGCTTTATAGATGTTACGTGACGGACGCTAGGCCATTTCCTTGAGCTGGAACTCAGCAAAAGTTTATAATATAAATTCCAGTTTCTGCAACAATAGTATATAAGTACATAATTCGAGCTTATAAATCTAAATGATAAACTATGTTAAATACTAACTCATTATTTAAAACCTTAAAATACCTTCAAACATTTTAAAACCTTAAAATCGGAACTAGTATAATTTCCTTCTAAAACATTGTTTGATTTCACTACCTCATAGAGCAAAGGAATTGTAAATTTTCCTCTCCTTAACTTTCCTGACAAATGTATATGTCTATAATTATATACTTATTCTCCATTTATAAACTTACCAAAAACAAATATTTTAATTGTTTAGCTGTATTTATTACTGTATATTGTCTTTCACATCAAAATGCATTCTTATTAGAGCTTTTAACCATGAGATAGTATATTTATTTTACGTCGAGAATAAAAGGATTTTTTTAAGCCCCTTAAGAAAAAAGTAAGGAAGGTGGCTCAGTCAGTAGCGTCGCGGACTTCGGGCCCAAGGCAGCGATGTCGTGGTTCGGATCCTGGTCACTGCCACTAACATTTTTCAGTACAGTTCACCTTTGTACTGTACCGGCTCACTTTGCTTTGCTGTAAACGTTCCACGCACGGGCGGTTAGTCTATGTGGACGGACAAATGCAAGGCCGCCAACCTCTTAAAAAAAGGACCCGTGCATTTTAGATTCTATGGATATTTTGAGCTATTTGTTTTATAACCTACAAAAACATATCACTTACCGTTAGGGATAACGCATTTTTTTAGCTTAATCCCTTTATTCATTAAATCGTTTAATAGGTTGGTTTTAAAATTATGTAATACCTGTATTTCTGTTATTATGCAACATTTTATATTTATTTGGTTTTAGTAAAAGAGTTCCTAGATATTAAAGTTCCAAACTCCGTTGAATCACCACGAAATCTTCAATGAAGTTTCAAAATATTAACTTTGGTTAACATATTCTACTTGCACTGCAAGTTACATTAAGGAAGTAGAGCGTGTTTAGTAGAACTTGATGATATCTGTTGGTAACTGACAATATTGAATTATTTCTAGGTCATTGGTACAAGCAATTTCATGTTTACTACTTTGACACACTTAAAAATCTACTATTGGCTCTTGCAACTTAACAAGTTACTTCTGAAGAAACTTAGTTTCTTATCGATAAATAGCTTTACCCTTGTTGCCTTATACCTTTATGATTCTTTAATTCTTTGCACAGTTGTAATCATATATCATAAAATATGGTTTATACGATTTCTAAAAAAAAATATATTTGTGAAGATGAGTAAAGTGGTTTCGACTTGTAGGAGTTTGTTTGGAAACATTACGGTTTGTTTATTGTTTACATACATTTTAGGGAAACGGTTGAAGAATGGAGCAAAATCTTTATTCAACAAATAAATAAAGTACCATTTGATATTATGGTTCAAATTTATACAGTAAAATACGCATACATAATAAAATGGTTTAGTCAATGCACTGTTTTGAAAACTAAATGAGTGATTTACTTACTTGCAAGTAAGTGTGCAAAAATGTCTTTTTTATCTACAGAAATGTGAATATACAGTTTGCTTTACAGTTTACACCTGTATTTAGAAGTTTGTTTTACCTAGTATTGACTGCTTTTAATTCTTTTACATGAAAGCAGACAAGTGGATTAAATTAAAACATTTGTCCCTTTAAATACC